TATTTTGCAAACATTATCCTCACATCGTACGTTCTTCGTTCTACGTTCTACGTTCCTGGCTCGTACGCTCGTTCGTATTTGATGCACAGCTTGGCCATTGCCGTTGGTTCGCTGTACGTGCGCAAGCACTTCAAACAGAATTCCAAGACCATTGCGCTGGATATGGTGGAACAAATTCGTGGCGTGTTCGATAATATACTCAGCGAAGTCGATTGGATGGACGAGGCTACAAAGTTGGAGGCTAAGAAGAAGCTGCATTCGATGACCACACACATCGGCTATCCGGACGAGATGTTGGACAACTCGAAATTGGAGGAATACTATCGTAATTTGGAAATTGATCCCAGCAAGTATTTTGAATCCTTCCTGAAGCTGAATGTTTTCGGCACAGACTACTCCTTCAATAAGTTACGTTTGCCGGTCAACAAGACCGATTGGGTGCGTCATGCCCGACCGGCGGTTGTGAATGCCTACTATTCGTCCATCGAGAATAGCATACGTAAGTTTTGGTAGTTTTTTTGTTGCTATAGGCAGTCGGTATGTAATTAAATTCTGTTGTTTTTTTTTATGCTTCTAGAATTCCCCGCTGGTATTCTGCAAGGACACTTCTTCAATGCTGCGCGTCCCAAGTACATGAATTACGGTGCTATCGGTTTTGTTATTGGTCACGAGATTACACACGGCTTCGATGATCAGGGTCGTCGTTTTGACTTGCAGGGCAACTTGCTGGACTGGTGGGCAGAGAACACACAGAAGTCATACTTGGATAAGGCGAAGTGCATTATTGAACAGTATGGCAACTACACGGACTTGCAGACAGGCATGCATGTGAGTATGAAGAAGGTTAACTAACAAGTGAGATACACAAATGCGAGTATTGCTGCAAAAGGCAGTTGGTGGAACCCCCTTCAGTGCTCAAAGACAGAAAAAGGGGTTGTCTACTGCGGAGGAAAATATATGTTTTGGCATAGTGTAGATGTATTACTTAGTACCAGCTGTTTACGAGAAGCAGTAAATTGGCTGCTTGCGAATGCATCACCAGTTTAGAATGGGAATATATACTTCGATAGCCAGGTGGAAATTAAGTCCTTGTGTCATTGATGATACTTCTCAAAAATTTCTTATAAGAATGTTTTACATTCAAGCTAAAAGGGGTTCCAGGAAACAGTTATATTGCAGAAAATTGCAAGGCCGACGAACAGGCAAGATAGGCCGCTCCCTTGCACTTAGTGCCATACTTAGGAATTAAAATTCACGATGAAGATCTGCTGAAGTCGCGAAGGGCCACGGTTTCATAATTTTTGATTTCGAAATAAAAAAAAAAACATGGGTGTATTTTTTAGAGATAGAACTCTCCCGGGGATGAGAGTATGAAAATTCTGACTAATTTTTTTTTTTGACCACCCTAATGCACATACGAGTACATATTTTCAATATTCTCATATTTCTAATATGTATTCAAATATGTCATATTTTCCTCTTAGCTCAATGGCATTAATACACAAGGTGAAAACATCGCCGACAATGGCGGCGTGAAGGAGTCCTACAAAGCTTACCGCCAATGGGTGGCCAAGAATGGCCCCGAACCGAAATTGCCCGGCTTAGATTACACACCCGAGCAGATGTTCTGGATTTCGGCGGGTCAAACTTGGTGTTCGAAATATCGTACAGGTGTGTGAGATAATACAAAATTTTGAATATCTATCTAAACTTGTTTGTGGGTTGTGGCTATTTTAAAAAACTCATACAATATTTTAATATTTCGTCCATAGAAACGCTTAAAATGCGCATCACCACCGGCGTGCATTCGCCCTCGCAATATCGCGTCATGGGCACATTTAGCAATATGAGAGACTTTGCGCGCGATTTCAATTGCCCCGAAGGCTCCCGAATGAATCCGGTGCAAAAGTGTGTGGTGTGGTAGGCAAAGCAGTGCAGGGGGCAGCAGGGAAAGCAGCAATAAGTTCATCAACACACTTGCAAGCATACATACATATATGTTGACCCACTCACACACCAACACACATACATATACACACTATACATACACACAAGTACTAAGTATGACAAGTACTGGAATTCTTGTTTTTATTAAAAAAAAAAAAATAAAAAAATTATATATACGATAAACTTATTATTTATGTACGTATGTATGTCTTTAGTTTATAATTGCAATTTGCTTTATTTTTAAAGCTAAACGTTTTTTTTTTTTTTTAATGTATGTAATTAGTTAATTTCGTGCAATTGAAACAAAAAGTAGTCGATATTTTTTTCTTTATTTGCTACTCACTTTAAATGCTATATTTTTCTATACAAAAAAAAAATAAACTAAAAATATTTGAGGACCTCGTTGCTAAGTTCTAATGTATTACATTGTGCTAAAACAAATAAAAATAATTTAATTATTAAAATGTTTTGTGTATTTACTGACAAATGGGTGGAATGAAAATTTAATTTCAAAATAATGTTGTCTTCGGTACTCTGATAAAGATTCTGGACAAGTTTCTAGGTCAAAACAGCTCGAGGGTTAATTGTTACACATTTCACAAGCTCCCTTCTTCTATCAGGCACAAGCTCATCATCAACCTCGAAAGCATATCGGACGACACTTTTGTGAATAACTGGTTAGGTAAGCAGCTTCCGATTTGGATAGTGTAGACGGCAGCTCTAATCAACATTTTATATTAGGATTACCATTGTGATGATGAAGAAAAGATTTCCTCAGTATTATGCATAGATGCCTTTGAAATACACTGAGAAAAAAACTTGAAAAGCGATCTGCTGGAAGCCACTTGAATCATATTTCTTACAATCGGTGTATTTACCATTTCGATATGAAACAATAACTTAGTTGAAAAAAAAAACATTTTGCCTTTTGCTCAGTGTATTCCGTTTTTTTTTTTTTTTGGCGGGTCGAATCAGTTTGTCCATTGTTCAAACAGTGTCTAAACTATACGATTCCTAAATGACATGGTCCGTAAAAACTCGAGCTCACTCTTCTTGATTGCTATAAGGCAAATATGCCGGCGCCACGTTGGTAAATATTCCCGTGAGAAGCAATGAAATGTTTTTAAGAAATGCCTTTGACAACTAGTCATTCACCGTATTCTAATCGCCAGGAGTATCAACCTACGACTTCTGCAGTTGTACATACAGTGACGAGCAAAACTGTAACATGGTTTAACACTTTTTGTTTCAGCCACCGCTATATTTCCAAGTTCTAACGACTTTCATACTTTTGCTGTATATTCTTGTTGGTACATCCCCACTCCCTCTCTCATAATGATTTGAAGTCAATACAACAACAATAAAAAAACCAGCAGACAAAAATGTAAATTAAGGAAGATGTTACAGTTTTGCACTCATATATTTTTAAGAGCTTTTTAACAATTTTCACGAAAAAAAAGAACTACTAACACAATGTTCAGTACTCTTTTGCCTGTTTCAGTTCCTGGATGTGATTTGGCATACATTATTTGTATCTTTGTAAAAATTCTGGAGGTAGATCCTTAGTTCGCTTTCACAGCTCATGTACTCGATTTTACGGACTTTGATACTTATTAAGCTGTGCTTTTAGTTGATTTCGCAAATTCTATGAGATTCATGTCCGCGGTTTGTGGAGGTCATTTCAAATTAGCAAATTTTTGCTTTTGTATCCAGTCTTTGCGAACATATGCAGTATGTTTTGGGTGATTTTTCAGCAGAAACTCTCATTTTTCGACTACATCTTGCAAATTTTGTTGAAATATGAACAGATACTGTTCCTTACGCATAATGCGTACCAACGGACCAATAAAATTTTTGAAATACAACCCCAAAAAATTAAGATCCTACCACTGTGATTCACAGTTTGCAGTACATGATGCGCTTAGGCTTAATTTGGGTCTTTGATCCAATACCATGCCCGGCCATCTGATTGAAAGCGATTAATTTAGTCTTGTCAGACCAAATAACCTTCAATTGAAACTTAAAAATATGTTTTTTATTGCATTCTGAACGGCCTAACATATCCCAATAGGCAACAGTTCGGTTTTCGTGCGATGTAGTGAAATGCTGCCACACTCGCACATGTATTATGATCAAATTTGCTTTTTTCTTCTTTATGATGCCTTTGAGCTCAAATTGGCAATTCTTCGCCTCGCTGTCTATTGATTTGCATTAAAGTTTAATACCTTAAGCGCTTCTGTAATAGTGGCTGCATCGCTACTTGCTTCTAAGTTCACAAGATATCGTACCGTAATATTTTTTAACAGACTTCCTTTGTCCTTGGGAACACTTTAGGCTATATTTTTTCTTCCAAAATTTTTTGCTACTTTTCGTGCGGTTCCGCCTTTCCGCAGTAAATCTATTATTTACATTTATGGTTCCTGATTAACTATGTTATTTACTGGTGATCACTTCTTCAATAAAATACAATATAGAAAAAAGTCATCTGACTTCCAACTAAGTAAAAGATAACTGTCAAATGCAAAACTGAGAGTGAGTGCAAAACTGTAACATCTGCCTTAATTTACATTTTTGTCTGCTGGTTTTTTTATTGTTGTTGTATTGACTTCAAATCATTATGAGAGATGGAGTAGGGATGTACCAACAACAATATTCAACAAAAGGATGAAAGTCGCTAGAACTTGGAAATATAGCGGTGGTTGAAACAAAAATTGTTAAAGCATGTTACAGTTTTGCCCGTCACTGTACGTACTTTTGTGTTTATAAGTTTAGGTAGCCAACCACCGATCTAGTCCCACAAGTATTTATGGGGACGAAGGTCGGCTTAACGTTATCACTTCAATTCGTGGAAATCCGGTAAAGTTGCAATAATAATAATGTTCCCAATTAAACTGGGTAGTTGTCGAACCTCTTTCAGTTTCTCTCAGTGAGTGACACTCTACTATGTAGCCTACTAACCTACTTCGGGATCGAAAATTATGAGACCTTATTAAAGGTGGTAACAGAATTTGTTTTTTTTTTTTTGGCAGTGTCGATAAATAAACTCAAAAGCTTAGAACACGGTAAGTACTGGAAGCGGTAGGCGGATTTAAATTACCCAGGAAGGGTTCACATCAGAATTCTTACTGGGTATTTAACGGCACATAGGTGACTGCGTTTTTATATGAACCGGATTGTTTTGCCCACACAGGCAGAATGTCGACTTTGCCTTGCGAGATGTCGTTTACAGTTAAGGTACACGTACGGAAGCCATCTACTATGACACTGTTAGCATTCATTAAGGGAGCTGACATTATCTTGGATTTCAGAATTCATTACAAATTTGAATCTGTCACTACAAATCTGAAAGAGACATTGAGATACACAGGGTCAAACCAGTGGGCTTAAGAGGCCTGAACAAGGTGACAATTGTTTCATCGAAGCGCAGGGTTAAGCAACTTTCCAGCAAATCCTACCACTACCAAACGGAGCGCCGACTGAACTTGAAAATGTGGTCATTGAAAAAATGGACATATTTTTTGGTATATCACCCAATGAACATACATTTATGGCCATTTAAAGGATGGAGCTTTGGTAATTTGAATTAGTAAAATTTTATGTTCAGCTTTTAAATGACCAAAAATATATGTCCTTATTCTTGATGGTCAAAATTTTATGCACAGTTCTTGAATTGCCAACATTAATATGTGGTGATTTATTGACCATAAATTTATGTGAGTTTGTGTAGTTCAAATTATCAAGAAATTATGGCTAGGTTTTTAAAATGAAAACAATTATGATCCGTTTTTAATTGACCATTATGACCATAAATGACAATTTATGTTCTGTTTCTGTTAAATGCGGATTTTAATTGTCCAAAAATTCTTGTCCAGTTTTTAAATTATCCAAAATGTATGTCCTCAGTTTTGTAATTATGAAATAATAAGTTTCCCTATATGCATGTTTGATGAATTAAAATCTTCATTTTTTTTTGGAATTTATGTACATACATTCGCTATGGCCAGCTGGTCCAGTTAAGTGACATTTTGACAAGTTTCGGCTATTTTTCTTTTGTTTTTATTGTGTATATATATTTTTTTAAAAAAGTCTAGCACATTATTAACCAGCACCAGATTCATGCACATTTCAAGATTTTTACAAAAAAAGTATAAAAGTTCAACAAACTTTAACAATAACAACCAAAAATTGTAAAGTTTTATTAAAAATTAAAAAACAAGTTTCAGGTAGGTTAAAGAGCAAATTTCAAGACATCAGGTAGATTTTAAATATTTTTTTTTTTGCCGGCGGTGCTAAATTTTGGGTGTAGTTAATAAAGTTGCTCATTTTTTATAAATTTTGTACGAAGTTTGAAATGTGGATTTATGTGGCGCTGGTTACGCCATATGCTAAACTTTTATAAAAAAATTAAAAACATTTAATAGATAAAAGAAAAATAGCCGCAAATGGTCAAAATGTTACTTGACTCAATCAGCTGACCACAAGGGTATGAACATACTACATATCTACATACATACATAATTACATATGTATGTAAATATCTTTGACAACAAAACGCTTTGCGAAAGCAACAGCTGTTATCAGCTTATCTACCTTATCCACCCATTCGCGACCGTTTATATGCGTTGAGTATAAATATTTGAACGCCAGTGCGCATGCCCGATTTCTTTTGGCATTTCAGTTGACAGCGGAAGTATAGCGAAAACTAATTTATTAGCAACTATCTTAATAACAGTGCAATAAATAAAAAAGCGCCCTAAAAAATTTGGAAATTCGCTAAATATTTAGTAAATAAAAGTAGC